GCGTGACGTGTCTCTATTACGTCACAGGATGATGGCGGAGAACAACTTTCTCTATGACAACTCGATGCCGACGCCGCAGCACGACCCGCCGATGTGGCCGTACACACTCGACTACCTGTCGACGCAGACGTGCGTGCTGCCCCCCTGCCCGACGCAGTCGTTCCCGGGCATCTGGGAGGTACCGATGGTAGACTACCTCGACCTGAACGACACGCTGTGCAACGAGATCGACAACTGCGCGTTCCCGGCCTCGAAGGACGAAGCGCTCGAGTTGCTGCATATGAACTTCGAGCGGCATTACCGCAGCAACCGCGCTCCGTTCCCGCTGCATCTGCGGCCGCGTTGGTTCTACGAGGCGCACTACACGATCGAGGCGATCGAGGAGTTCCTCGACGAACTGCAGGCGATGGGCGACGTCTACATGGTCACCGTCTCGCAGGCGATCAAGTGGATACAGATGCCGACGCGACTGATGGACATCAAGAACTTCGGGCCGTGGAAGTGCGACGACGCCGTCGGCGGTGCCGACGTCTGCGAGAGGCCGATCAGCTGCGGCTACTACAACATCACGATCCATCCGAACTCGGAGGACCATCCGGGAGAGAGATGGATCTCAACGTGCGCCGACTCGTGCCCGCCTAGCTACCCGTTCACGGGCAATCCCGAAGGATTGTAAATGAACCCCAAAAAATTAAAATAAACACACATTCGCATTCCTACATCGCCATATCGCGCATCAGTAGTTAGTGCAATCAATAGACGCTCATATCAGTGAACACGCGGATGGTTCGCTCACGTTGTAGGCGACCACGCTGTTCCTTAGAAATTCCCGAACGCTCCAGCTGCGAGCGATATTGATTGCCATAAGTACATCTTTCATGTCAAATGTGAGATCGACGGAGTCGTATGACGATCTTAGTAAAACAGTCACCTAGAAGAATCATGATAGCACGAACGGTGCTTTATACTCTTTCCTCCTCATTCTCACTGTCGATCATAATTTCAACGACCAACTCAAGGAGATCCCCCCCCCCCAAATTCATACATCTTTAAACGGAAATCAAATATATAAATATAAATATACACACATATATATCTTTTTTCGAAATTAGAATAGCGTAAATATATATATATCTCGTTTTGATTGGATTATAAGAAATTTAGTTGAATATACGGCTGTGATAATGGCTAGAAATTGTCCCCTATGCACACGCCCAAACGGTTCGTTGTTCACGTGTTCTTCAAACTAGGTTCAGGTTTATGACTTTGGAAAGTAGCCAACTATAAAAGCGCGAAGTGTTGCCAAAATAAAATGCAATTTAATCGATGAGCTGCCAACATTTCGCTAGATGGCACAACCTGATGGTAAAGGCAGGTTGAACCCAATCCTGTTGCATAAAAGAGTAAGCATAACCCTAAGCAGCATTCTAAATAATTAAAAAAGTACAAGAAAATGTTCCTTTCAGTGTATATAATGTGGAAGGTGCCGTATGGGATGTTATTCAAATATGTATATATAGATACGATACTGTTGTGCAACAACAAAAGCAAAAGCACCAGCTATCGGCCATGCATGAAATTATTCCGAGAAGATAGGCTGATGAAAGATAAGGCGTTTCCTGCATATATATATATATATATATTGTCTATGAAGGGAGTTGTATATTTTAATAGCAATAAGCTGTGTGCAAATTATAATGTAGAGATGTATATCATAAATGATGAATAATATAACCTTGCCCTATGCGTAGATTCACTTCGTTCACATTGTGAGAAGTTGCCAGCGGTTAAGTCGCAGTCATGGCCGTCCCAAAAATAGCGCAAGCCAATTTAAATCGCATTAAGCAATTTCGCACAGAATTTGTCACATTCCTAACAGGAAAGAAATCTAAAATTGAAGTGACATTACATAACATGTCACTTATAACTTGCATTAAAATTTACCCAAGAAGATAACCCTCAATTAGGTTTCGGCAGGTTAAAATGCGTAAACTGGCGCATGCACGGTAAGGGTAGTTATCTGACTTTCATATCTATAATCAGCCGTGGTGCATACCGGACACACAGCATGAGCGAAACGAATCTATATCGCTTATATCCTTGTAATTCAAACAACCAACGTGTTAGCTCTGTTTTATACGCGGTTTATCGAATGCAAATACGTATATATCCGAAATAAACTTTGCCTGGTTTGAGATACACAACTTGTTCGGTTATTGGTGTGGATTCCGTTATTACTTTCAATGCCCTGTATAAAGCGCGAAATCGAAGTGCATAATTCAGCAATCTTATCATAGGAGATATCATCAGGAGTCTATCAATATTGAATATTGATAGACTTCTGATATCATCACCACATCATCCATTCTTTTCACGATACGTCTCTACGTACTCAGAACCATAATAGAAGGAGCAAGAAGGCATACAGAGTGTGATCGTTTTTTTAAATCTATTTTTACGTATCATCAGACATTGATTGATGTATGATCGATGTATGATGTACGAAAAGATAGGTGTATGTTCACCCGATACGAAGGTACAGTACTTGGGTGTGTTAAACTGTTTGAAAACGCATTGCTTTGTACGTGCTCTATAGTAGTAAGTGGGACATTCGTGGGGGCACGCTTTAGATACGTTACTGAGATACACGTCTCCGTACGATACCACAAACTAACACATTATCTTATAGAAACTGGAAACAATATATACCCTATAGCTACACAAGCCATCATCGACTACGCGACAAACATGAATGTAACACAAAAGGCATATTGATTGACTATATCTATACCAACTATATAATAGTGTGCCAGTTAGCTTCTCGAGAAACATGTCCTATGTCCGCTTATTATACATACTAGCAAACCACACTAAAATAACTTCCTACATAATTTAATAAACTATGCGGAATTTAACCAGTCAAGAGATTTTTTTATAGCAAATAAGGGTTGACAATTTCGGTAGACACAATATAATATTTACGCCGCCCACGACGGACGCTGCTGTAATCATACACGGCAAAACCCAAGAAGAATTTAGTCGACACGTACGTTAAACAACACACAAATATTTTTCGGCAGGGATCGAAATGCGAAGTTCTATTGTCGTGAGTCCTAGAGTGACAATTTGTCAGGTAAGACCAACGGAAATTATATCTGGCGCTCCAAACCAGTAAATAGTCTTATTTATAATCGATTGCTTTTCTGTTAGATGTTTGTGCAATTTATAATTTAATAATAGGAACCATGCATGAGAGATGGCACGCGGCCAGTCACTGTAATGGCAATAACTTCAGGTGATATCTCTACAAGGTTTAACCCAATATTAGACGCAAACTCTGTCGCGACCGAGTAACGTCGCAAGTTTAAACGCAGCACGGCACTCTCAGCTATTAATGCAAAAAAACGATGACGACGGCGACAACGATGACAACACTAACAACATTGAATGTCATTGTTAAATATTCGGGGGCATTCGCAAACGAATTCGATAGAAAATCGTGGGTCTTTCCGACTTTAACAACAGTTTTACCGTTGTACACGGCTCAGGTCAAATGAAGACCTTGCATGGTGCTGATGATAACAGTCACGTAACCCAGGGGGATGACAACACATACAATGAGTGTCAATTACACTGTAGCTCACCACAAAAAAGGACACAAATGAGTGAGTGAGAAGAAGTCAGTTTTAATTGAGCAACCATCGACGTACATTATAGAAACGAAGAGTATATATGGGAGAACTCCCATTATATACTCTTGATAATTATATGTGTAATTTTTATGTGAAAATAATAAATAATATTATATAAAAATTGTAAATAATTTATAAACCAAAATAAATCACAATTTGTGACGGTAGATGGCGCTATACCCGCTTTGATGTTTCTTAGCATAAATCATTCTATAATAATAATAATAAAATAATGTATAAAAAATAATTAGTTCATCTAGCGCAGGAATTTTCATTAAAGATATGTGTCAATGAACTTGTAAAACGAACCAGACGACGTGACACCACAGACTGTTGTTATCTGTGTGTCTATATAATATGCTAATAATCTGCCAAAACCTACCATTTGCCATAATTTTTT